TTTTTTACAGAAGTGACAACAGCACTTCGTCGCTAGGACATTTTGTAAATAGCTGTGCTCTCGAGTGTTCGAGCCAAAAGAATTATGTTTTACGATCGTCAGTCGTAGTAACGCAGCGGCGTGCACAAGAAAATTTAGGATTAATACGACGACCTTGAATTGATTCGAAGTATTTACGATATACGGCAAGAGATTTTACACGATTTATTCAGAAACGATGGCGGGAGGTGTTCGAGAACTTGGGACAAGCCGCGATCCTAATCCTAGCTTTCGCAGCTCCATATAGTTTTTATAATCCTTAGAGAGAGAGAGAGAGAGAGAGAGAGAGAAAAGTGTGCAATTAGAAATTCACGGTCGTGCGTTTCATCTTCTCAAAAAAAAAAAAAAAAAAAAAGAAAGAAAAAGTTAAACGACGAGCTTGTCCCAATGTTTGCGAACGACCGCCCTGTACAACCAGGTTCTAAACTATTCATTCCATACAGAGACTTGAACTTGATTTGGACGTCATACATATCATACGAAGACATTAGGAAATTCAGATGTAGGAGACGATGCACTGACATTACTAAGAACACACAAGATAAAAGATAGAAGAGAGCGTGAGAGAGAGAGAGAGGGAGAGAAAGGGAGGGAGAGAAAGAGAAAGAGAGAAAGAGAGAAAAGTGCTATATAAAGTAAATGTGCATGCTAGTCTAGGGCAATCTCGACAAGGCAGAGATGTTGCCCTATCAAACGGCTGCCAAAGTCGAGATCGCTCGCGACTGGTGCCTAGTATTTAAGTACTCATCCGTAATACACACGCCATACTTGGATATATCGGGAATACACACACGTATATACAGTACAGTACAATCTCGACATAATGTACATATACAAACATATGCAATATACTCGATGGAATTTCTTCTTATTGATATATATATATATATATATATATACACACATATATATACATATATATGTATATATATATATATATATATATCTATATATAAACATTGTACTCGGCACCGCAGCGATTCGCTGGGTCTGCAGTCCACTCGATCGCGGATCCATCGGTAATGTCTCTCATAGCTGAGCCGTAGCCCACAGCTGCTGCCTGCACTGCACTGCGCTATGTACAGCACACGTTTAATTATTAGTAATTCCTGGTGTAATCCCTGACCAAGGATCTCGTTCTGTCCGAAACGTCGACATTTGAAATTTTTGCCCGCCCTGTTTATTACTTTCCCTTGGTCTTCTCTTAATACGTATTACGTATAAATATTCGCCGTTTAACATTTGATCGAGTACGTTTGTAACTGCAGAGGTTTCACACTTCGGAGCGGATACACATCTCATCACGTGGATAGATCTTTTTCGCGAAAGGGTCAGTGTAATTTGTATGAGTAATTTGTAATTGTTTCAAGTAGAAAAGGGGGGAGGGAGGGAGAGGGGGATGAATAGGTGTCACACGGTATTATCGGTCACGGATCACACCAGCGTTGCATTATGGTTCCTTTTCGTATTTTTCTAATTTGCCAACATTGATATTTACATTTTTCTGACTGTTCGGTGTTTAATCCAATCCGACTTGACCAGCAACGCGCGCCTCGATTGCGCCCCGGTCGATCCCCACGTGAACGACCCTGCGCATTCCGGCGTCCATTAAACATATATACATATTCTTCTTATATCGATGGTGCACAAAATGCTTGTGTATGTATATTTATGTTGTAACTAGATATCCATTATGATACATATCTCCGTTTCTCTATTATATCGAGCACTTGCAGCGAGCCACTGTTCAATCGTATCGAGTAACATAATCTATACCACGTATCAATCATCACGATGTATGTTATATTTTGCCCAGGACCAAAGTTTCACAAAGTACATTACAATTACCCCATCCCCCTCGCACCGTTACTTCTCCCTACACGTAAAAAGTAAAATTTTCACCTCGGATCTGGACAAACTTCAAACTCGATCGTAAACTTCCCGCAATACCAACCTCCCTCCCCTCTCACAGTCACACGTACCGATTGAAACACGTTATTTTTCCCTTTTCGTGGCAGTACTCTATATTTTTGGAAATATTCTTACCGATCGATACACACACACACACATATATATATATATGTATACACTTGTGATGATACTTTTATAACTAAACTCGCACTGTTAACACGTTCCACATTATAGAGAAGAACTGGAAAATTAATTTTTAAATATTAACAACACGTGTTAATATTCTTATCATTTAATAGTTATATTATTTATAATATAATTATATATAATTATATTTAATATATAATATAATAATTATGTTATTTATTTATTGTTATATTATTCAATAATTAATATTAACCACACGTGTTAATATTATTATTATTTAATAATTATATTATTTATAATATAATTATATTTAATATATAATATAATAATTATGTTATTTATTTATTGTTATATTATTTAATAATTAATATTAACCACACGTGTTAATATTATTATTGTTTAATAATTATATTATTTATAATATAATTAAATTAAATATATAATATAATAATTGTGTTATTTATTTATTGTTATATTATTTAATAATTAATATTATTAACCACACGTGTTAATATTATTATTATTTATAATATAATTATATTTAATATATAATATAATAGTTATGTTATTTATTTATTGTTATATTATTTAATAATTAATATTATTAACCACACGTGTTAATATTATTATTATTTAATAATTATATTATTTATAACATAATAATTATGTTATTTACTTATTATTATATTATTTAATATTATTAACAACACGTGTTAATATTATTATTTTTTAATAATTATATTATTCATAATATAATTATATTTAATATATAATATTATATTATATAATGTATAATATAATAATTATATTATTTATTTATTCTTACATTATTTAACAATTAATATTATTATTATTTATTATTAACACGTGTTAACTGTTTAACGAGCAATAGTCACTTTCTATCAGTAACAGCTAATAATAGTTAATTCTGTCATTAAATATTAGAGTAATTACGAAATGTTTGGTTATCTCTTTCGACAGTATCTCAAAAATATATCTACTCTTTCATCGTGGAACGTGTTCACCCACCACCTCATTCAAACACACCCCCTCCACCTCCAGAGTCTCTCAAACTTACACAAACCTTCTTTCTTAGAAAACATGATCAAACTAAAGAAAGAAAAACAGAGAGAGATGTTAAAGAGAAAATAATAAAAAAAAAAAAAAAGAAGGAGAGAGGTTCGCTGCAAAACGTGCCGAACGTGTGTGTGTCCGCGGTGTCACCAAAGGGTGTGTGCATAGAAATCGGTGAGGATGAGTGGTCAGCAGAAAGGCGTGCATGTAGCGTGGTGTGCGTGTGTGTGTAGAAGTCAGCTGGAGGTGGTGCCGAGGAACAGCAGCAGCGGTGGTCGGCCGATGAGCACGGTGAGCGCGGGCGGCAGCCTCGGCCGTGGAAGCAGGGCGCTGCATCTTCAGCATCATCAGAGCTCCCTGTCCGCCCTGCACATGACGGCCAATCACTCGGGCACGGTCGATAGACGCAGATCCAGCCTCAGGGTAACGTACCGTATAGATTCAAAGACACACACCTGGCCTCATTCACCACTGCACCGGGGAACTCGGTGGTATTTTAGTATTCGTCTCGTTGCCCTTGCAACATTCACCCTCTGTTCCGCTGTTTCCGGCGCGGAAACACGACACGCTCTTAACAGATCGCTTCACTCGTCTGTTATCTCTATGTATATCTTTGAATGTGAAGATCTCCCGATTTTCTCTTTCGCTCTCCTTGAAATTACATTCTTAGCTTTTCTTTTATATTTAATATAACGTACTTATATATAATATTTAATATATAAAATATTCCCTCTGAAAATGAAAATCTTCTGATTTTATTTTGCTCTCCTTGAAATTAAATTCTTAGCTTTTCTTTTATATTTAATATAACATACTTATATATATAATATATATATAATTATATTTAATATAAAATATTCCCCCTGAAAATGAAAATCTTCTGATTTCATTTTGCTCTCCTTGAAATTAAATTCTTAGCTTTTCTTCTATATTTAATATAAATTAAATTTTATGTTTAATATATTATTTTATATTCAATATAACATACTTATATATAATATATATAATATATAATTATTTTTAATATAACATACTTATATATAATATATATAATATATAATTATTTTTAATATAACACACTTATATATAATATATATAATATATAATTATTTTTAATATAACATACTTATATATAATATATATAATATATAATTATATTTAACATTTTATATATATATATATATAAAATATTTAATAAAAAATATTTGCTCTGTTTAATTTAAATATATTGTTATACACGTATATTAATTAATTTTGTTACTATATTATTACTATACTGCTATTACTTTTTATCACTATTATTGCTATTAAATTAATTTCTACTATATTACTATTAAATTAACTTTACTATTACTATTAATTTTATTATATTACTATTGAATTGATATTGTTACCATAATTTAATTTTGTCGTTTGTTTCCTCTTAATTGATCATTTCTCTTTTTCTTGAGACAATTTTTCGTGCAATGTTTTCGGATCTTAATAATTTCTCAAGACACAATTAGTACTATCTAGGAGCATAGAGCTGATTTTATTTCACAGTCAATGGTTCAGTTCATTCTCAAGCAACTGTAAAAAAAAAAAAATAAGAAACAGCCTTGAAACGTAGAAACTGATGAATGAAGTGGTAGCCTACATTTTTTATCCCCCCTCGCGCCTAAACGCGCACGTCCAGTGGTAACAGCGAAGAAAACGCTGACCAGATGTCTGTCATTGTCACGTTCTACTGAAACTTCAGCCGTGTTTACTACAGAGAAAGAAACAGATTGAAAATTACGATTCGCTTTGAACGGCGATATCTCGTAAATAGAAAGTCGAATCGACATGAAACGAGAAACATTTCAAAGGGAAAGGTCCCTAATTTATCTACTAATTTTATTTCGTACACGCGAAGAAACTTAACTTGACTGTTTAACGTCCATCTATTGGCGTTAATTTTGAACATTGTTTCAGATAAATGACTTAATCACTTATTATATTTATTATTATTTATCAAGATTGTTTCAGATAAATGACCATTATTATTATATAAATATAATACATAAGTGATTGTTATTTTTATTATTATATTTATTGTCAGTTACTACGTTTGACAGAGATTATACGCTAGATAGTACTAATTGCAAAAAAAAAGGAATCGGATGAGGACGAAATCGTTTAATCAACGAAACAAAGCGATCTGCTCTGAAAGATATCGTGTCGCCACAATCATCAGTCATGGGTGACTTTCTTCGCTGATTGAAATACCCGAATGATAAATCACTTTGAAACAGTATACACACACACACACACACACACACACACTCGCGAAGGAAGCCACCACTGACGAGCATTGTTAACATAATCATCGCCTAAGGTATTCATTTGCAGCGGTTGCTCGGATTAATTTCGTCGGCCACGTGTCTCTCGTGTTTGAAATTGAATTGATTTAATTGATCGTTCGAGTAATCCGTGAAAGATAATCCGAACGACTGCTGGGTAGTAATTTTCTCGCACTCATTTGATTAATTTCTCATCGTTTCACATACACACATACACACACACACATATATATATCGATTTTTTTTAATTAATTTTTAATTTCTCATTGGCACGATTGCATGGCATCTCGCTTAGGTAAAAATTACGCTCGCGCTGTAATTTTTTTTCCACCAGATAACAACAAGCTCCTCTTGTCTTGACACCACCCTACTCTTTAATATCTTTAACCCTTATCCGGGAAAGTAGCGTACACACTTTGTAGACATGGACGTCGAGAAAGAAAGAAAAGAAAAAGCGAGAGAGAGAGAAAGTATTTATCGAATTTAAGGCCCAACAGCGGCAACGTGTTCGTGCATCGTCTGTTATTAACGGCTAAACGTCACATCATGCAGACACGTCGAGCTTCGTTCAGTTTTATTGACGTGATACGTGAAATGAAATGTGAAATTTCTCGTCGTTCTTTCCACGCGAGGAACGATAACGATATATATATATATATATATATATATATATATATATATGTCGAAATGAAGCAGCTAAGAGGCCTCTGTAGCTACAAGTGTGTGACTGTGTAATCTTTCCACGCGATAAGGGTTAAAAAAAGCTGTGAGCTATGTGCTTTGACCTAACGTTAAAAAAAGAAAAAAAAAAAAAAAAGGAAAAATATATATATATATCATTCTCCCTGCATCCTGTGGATCGTCGCAGACCTGCAGTCTTCTTTACTTGAAAAAGGTTCGGTATATATGTATATATTTGTTATATACGTATATGTATATATATCTAGTGTCTGTAACTCATTCGTTCATTCGTTTCCTTCGCCACGTGTCTCTCTGTATTTATCACCTGTTTATCACCTGTTTATCACCCGTTCGTTAGAGATCCCTATGTGACGATGAGAGTTTTATATACTATATCACTTCAGAACCCTCTCAGGTGTTGCGTTTTGTTACAGAGCTCGCGCACTTTCGAAGTTCCACTCCCCCCACTTGTCGCGGAAAATTACAAAATTGCTCGCGAATTCTAGGAAAGAAAGATTTCTTTCTAAATCTTCTTCTCTTCTTTTGGAACAATTCTAAAGAGGGAAGGAAAGGGGGGGAGGAGCTTCGAAGGAGAGACAGTTCTGTGAAGGGAATGCGTAAAGGGAACGATGATTGCTCCTCCGCCACGGAAGTTAGTTAGCCTAATCTAAAAGAAAATTGAATCTCTCTCGCGTTCGGTTTTCGATAGTTTTCGTTCGTTGTGTATGTGTGTACGTGTCGAACGACTGTGTATTCTGTGATAGAAAAAAATAAAAAAAAGATACCTTCCGCCTGGGAAGGTTCTCGCAATCAATCGCAACCTTGCACGTTCCGCAAAGAAAAAAAGAAAAAAAAAAAGAAAAAAAAGAAAAACAACATCGTAGATGATACTTGTCATACTGTCTTGGAGCAACCTTCGCGCGCTCGAGCTCTCACCTCGGGATGCCTCCTCGTGGAAATTACTATTTCAAACTTGTCTCTGGCGGTTTCAGCGCAGTCCCGAGAAATTGAAAGAAAAATTCGCTGAAACGAATCCAGACGACGATCCTTTCTCTCTCTTATATCTCGATCTCGATCTCGATCGTACGGACTTCGAAAACACATAAATACAAAATGCGGGCGAATGAGCGATCCTTCGTTGAAAGAGAGAGAGAGAGAGAGAAAAGTAATTTTCGTCGTCGGTCCGAAAGAGCCCCGAGAGTTCGCTTCTTCCTTTCCAAACTGTCGTTTCGAATCGAAATTAATCGTTGTTGTTTTGGAAACCAAAAAAAAAAAAAGAAAAAAAAAGAAAAAAAGAAAGAAAACAATTCGACGAAAAGAAAGAAAGGAAAAGACTGAGATATACGAGTGCAATTGTAATCTAGTCTGGACCTTGTGAAACTTGTAAAACCACCGATCGCAGCGATTTGATTATAATTGTCGCGACGTTCGCGAACGATGAGCTTAAACCTAGTCAAATTGAAACGAACTGTCCGCTCGATTATTGTATCTGACCATCGTAATTCATCGAACTGAACAACGAGTGAGTATGTATTACGTGTTGTCTGCACGTTTATTAGAACGTTTCCTTTTTTTTTTTTTTTTCTGTCTCCTTCTTTGGTAGATCCACGGCTTGTCTTCATAGAAAATTGAGAACAGAGCAAATGCAATTTAGCTGCAGCGACGTGCGTAAGTTTTACGGTCAGTATGCGTTGGATGCGCAGGTCAGCCGAGTTGCTGTTTGATTTTAACTTTTTTGATTTTATATCACGTTGGAATTGGAGTTCCATTCCAGTTAAATAACCTCGCTCTCGGGTTTTCAACCTGCGATTAAACCAAATTCAAATCTGAAAAAGAAAAAAACGAATCTCAATTTCTGGCATTTCTAATATACAGGATGATTCGCGCAACTTTCAAATCGCGCGTCTAAATGGAAAATTTTTTAATATAAAGGTTGTATTAGTTTCAAGGAAGGAGAAATATGTGTCGATTTCTTTTTTTTTCTTTTTTTTTTTTTCAAGGTCTGACAAATCATCCGTAAAATATCTCCTCGACCATTAGATTTAGAATCAACGTAGCTTGATACTTTTTTACTTGGGATTCGACATTCCTTCGATTCACGATGAAAAGTGACATACGGTCGAACTAAAAAAAGAAAAATAATAAAGATGACGTTGAAAATTTCAACACACGCGAAACAACACTGATAAGTCATGTTTGAGACAATACGATTCTTGTATCAAACAATTTTTTTGTTACACAATTCAAAGGTCAGTTCAAAGTGTGCAGGTTACGTGAATCACCCTGTATACACGTATTAGACCTTAATAGATATCAATCTTTCCATTTTCCAAGACACGTCTCTTTCTTTCACTTTTCTTCTTTCCCCTCAAGTGAAAAGCTCGATGAACTGCGACCCATGAAACATCGTTGATTCCTAACTGTTCCTCTCGAATGCTAAACGAAAAGAAAAAAAGAGAGAGAAATTTCCTCTGAAAGGCTGACTGTATCGCCGCCACACTTGTAAACACTGTACATAAAGAAGCAACGACCGATTTATCACATTCTCCTTTCTTTTCTTTTTTTTTTTTTTCTTCTCTCATGTATGTTAAACCGAAGTGTCCTGCTTTTAAGAAGAGTTTCGATTAACCGTAGCGAGTGTTACGAGAAGCGATCGCATCCTAAAAACAGGACACTGAGAGGTACTGTGTGCGGACGCTCGCGATTTTTATTAGCTACTTAAAAGAAAAAGAAAAAGAAAAAAAAAAAACAAAACACTGATTATAACAATGACGAGCCATTGTGTAAATATAAACTGATGATTTCAATGTGGAATTCACGACGTGGGGTTCTTAATCTGCCTTGTGTTTCGTCCTTTACTAGTTGTCGTGGAAGAGCTCACAGGTATGCGGCCATAACTTACTCGTTTTTCTCCTTTCTTTCTTTTTTTTTTTTTTTTTTTTTTTTTTTTGATATTCATTTCTCTTGCAATCTCCCCGTTTAGTCGTAGTCGTTATTCATTTTACGTTGAATTTTACTCCTTTCATTCAGTTCGAACGTAGATAGGAATGCAATCACGTCGAAATTTGGCTAATCAGGATTTTAACGAAAACCTTGCCAACCCACTCGTTGTTGTAGACAGCTATGATTATATTAAACTTTCACGATTAAAATCCATATCTCGATGAGGAAGATACCTCCGTCAATCAATTAATTTAGGCGAACGTTAACAGCAATTTCAGCTGAAACTTCGCCGAGTACCTGGCCGATAAGGAGTCGAGCATAATATTGCAAAAGTTTAAACTCCTATCTCGCTCAACTTTCACCCCAGAGAATGTACAAAAATCTCAGATAATACACATTGTGCAGGATTTTCAACGAATTGTACTTCCTCGTTAACCAATTTTCGATTTGTATTCTTAATGTGTGCATTGTGTACTCTCCACTCTGGCCTTTAGTTTCCACTGCTTTGAATACTCTTTTCTTTTCTTTTCTTTTTTTTTTATTTCCTCATTCTCTTTTTTTTTTCATCAAGAATAGATCAGTCGAATCGAGATGAATTGCTAGTGCGATGAATTATTTAGATCCTCCAACCCTCCCAAGATCCGTGCCTCTCCTATTACTCGGAGCCGAACCTCCCCATGCAATTTCGCGAAATTAGAACGAGAGAGACCTTCTGTTCACTGACTGTCTGTGTGTGTGTGTGTGTGTGTGTGTGTGTGTGTGTGTGTCATGCTGCACGTGCACCCCTAGCTTCTCGTCGGATCCAATCATCTCTCACCTTTCCGCCACCTTTGTCCTCTTCCGAAACGAAACTGTTTCGAAACTTGGTATACTCACGAGCATTTGAATGTTCCAACGAGGAAGGGGAGCTCGTAGCTCTCAAAGAAACTGACGATTTCGAAACGTTTCGTTACTGCAGGCTCGAGCAATTCGGCCACGTGGAGGAGCATCTCTCACCGAACGTCTTCTCGAAACGCAATTTCACAAAACTTGTCTCTCTCTCTCTCTCTCCCCTCCTTTCCCGCGGGCACCAATAAACCCGATAGCTCGTTTGCTCGTAGCAAGGTCTTCCCCTCGAGGAAGTCGAGATCCACAGATCCCTCGAAATATCGTAGATCTCGGTATCAACTGACAAGTTCTTCTCAAAATTATCTGGATTGTCGATTGGAGTGATTTTTTTTTTTACTCAAAGTTTGGTCAAATCACGCGATTGAACTTGAATAATCTCGGAGTCGAAGTGTGGTAACTTTTAAAATTTTGAAAATCAGTTCCAAATATCTCGGACGAGACTGAGAAATCGAGTAAACGCAGGAAATTCTAAACTTTCTAAACTGTGAAATTAGTTGCTTTTAGAAACTAAGGAATAGAGAAGAAATAGCAAAGAATTCTAAACTTTCTAAATTCTGAGATTGGTTCCTAACGTCTTAGAAAACTGAGGAATAGTAAACGCAAAAAATTTTAAACTTTCTAAACTCTGAAATTGATTCCTAACCTCTCGGAAACTGAGGGACAGTAAGCGCAGAAAATTTTGAACTTTCTGAACTCTGAAATTAGTTGCTTTTAGAAACTAAGGAATAGAGAAGAAATAGCAAAGAATTCTAAATTCCTAACTTTCTAAATTCTGAAACTTTCTAAATTCCTAACGTCTTAGAAAACTGAGGAATAGTAAACGCAAAAAATTTTAAACTTTCTAAACTCTGAAATTGATTCCTAACCTCTCGGAAACTGAGGGACAGTAAGCGCAGAAAATTTTGAACTTTCTGAACTCTGAAATTAGTTGCTTTTAGAAACTAAGGAATAGAGAAGAAATAGCAAAGAATTCTAAATTCCTAACTTTCTAAATTCTGAAACTTTCTAAATTCCTAACGTCTTAGAAAACTGAGGAATAGTAAACGCAAAAAATTTTAAACTTTCTAAACTCTGAAATTGATTCCTAACCTCTCAGAAACTAAGGGACAGTAAGCACAGAAAATTTTGAACTTTCTGAACTCTGAAATTGGTTCCTAACCTCTCAGAAACTAAGAAATAACCAGCGCAAAAATTTTAAACTCTAAGCTCTAAATACTAAACTTTCTGAACTCTAAAATTATTTCCTAACCTCTCAGATACTGAGTAGTAAACGCAAAAAATTCTAACCTCTAAAATTAATTCCTAACTTCTCAGAAACTAAGGAATAACAAACGCAAAAAAAATTTATAAATTCTAAACTCTAAATACTAAACTTTCTAAACTCTAAAATTATTTCCTAATCTCTCAAATACTAAGGCACGGTAAACGCAAAAAATTCTGAAATTATTTTCTAACCTCTCAGAAACTGAGAAATAACAAACGTAAAAAATTCTAAACTCTGAAATTATTTTCTAACCTCTCAGAAACTGGGAAATAACAAACGCAAAAAAAAATTATAAATTCTAAACTCTAAATACTAAACTTTCTAAACTCTAAAATTATTTCCTAATCTTTCAGATACTGAAGAGCGGTAAACGCAAAAAATTCTAAACTCTGAAATTATTTTCTAACCTCTCAGAAACTGAAAAATAACCAGCGCAAAAAATTCTAAACTCTAAACTCTAAATACTAAACTTTCTAAACTCTAAAATTATTTCCTAATCTCTCAGATACTAAAGAGTGGTAAACGCAAAAAATTCTAAACTCTGAAATTAGTTCCTAACTTCTCAGAAACTAAGGAATAACAAACGTAAAAAATTCTAAACTCTGAAATTATTTTCTAACTTCTCAGAAACTGGGAAATAACAAACGCAAAAAATTATAAATTCTAAACTCTAAATACTAAACTTTCTAAACTCTAAAATTATTTCCTAACCTCTCAGATACTGAGGAGTGGTAAACGCAAAAAATTCTAAACTCTGAAATTAGTTCCTAACTTCTCAGAAACTAAGGAATAACAAACGTAAAAAATTCTAAACTCTGAAATTATTTTCTAACTTCTCAGAAACTGGGAAATAACAAACGCAAAAAATTATAAATTCTAAACTCTAAATACTAAACTTTCTAAACTCTAAAATTATTTCCTAACCTCTCAGATACTGAGGAGTGGTAAACGCAAAAAATTCTAAACTCTGAAATTAGTTCCTAACTTCTCAGAAACTAAGGAATAACAAACGTAAAAAATTCTAAACTCTAAAATTATTTCCTAACCCCTCAGATACTGAGGAGTGGAAATTCTAACCTCTGAAATTAATTCCTAATCGTCCCTCTCGGACGAGACTGAAAAATCGAGATAAAACGCAACAGATTTTTCTTTTCGCTACACTCATTTTCTCTGTCTCTCTCTCTCTCTCTCTATTGCATTACTAGAAACACTTGGATATTTCTGGGTACGCGAGACCTACGGTATTTTCCACCGGATCTACCCCCCTCGAATTGTTTCCAAATTTCCATTCAACGGCGATACAACGGCTGAAACCTTTTCCAACAGGGATCGTTGAGCAGAGCGTTCGGGCTTCGACCGAGAAGCGAGAAGGCCTCGCCGTCGTCCTCGTCGGACACCGGGAGCCTGGCAAGCCAGTACATGAGCAGCGCACGCAGCAACTCGCCGCCGCCGCCGCAGCTACCACCGAGACCAATCACCGGGAACAAGAGACACCGTCGTGTGAAGAGCATAGGCGACATCGACTACATAACGAGCGCGGCGGTGAGCACCCCCGTTTGACAGGAGGGTAGGCCCCAACATCCGGGGCCTTATCGAAGCTTGAGCGAGCGTGGATACTCGTCGTCGCAGTACGCATCGTCGCAGTACGGCTCGTACTCCGGCTACAGCAACGTTCTCCACGGCGATCAGTATCAGTACCAGCATGCTGGCAACTATTACCAGCTGAAGGGCGGTTATTACTCGCCTCAGAGCACCGGGCCGCCGTTTCCAGGCGTGCAGAGATACGGAAGCCTGGCCGAGGAGGCCTGGTCCTGCACCACGAAAGACGACACCGGCAATCCCAAGGCGAGCCCTAGGACTTATCTAGCTTAGCTGGCCGCGAGGATCACCGCGATGATACCGCGGTGTGTGTGAGAGAGAAAGAGAGAGAGAGAGAGAGAAAGAGAGTCGCAGAATTTTATTCTATTTCGCAGTTGACAACAAGAGGAGGAGGTGGGAGTGTTGTCAGAAGGGACGGAGCTGTAATCTAGGGGCTTGGATTCATCGTGTTTAACCCTTTCACCGATGGGAATCGGCAATTGCAGAGACGAGGGATTCGCTTGGGCAGAGTTTCTCGAATTTATGGAATGCGATATTGGCGAGGTATTGAAGCACTTGCCACACGAGTATGCTACGTATTTTGTGAGTCGTCGGATACGTGGCAGAAAAATTTAATATATAATTATTTAATATATAATTTTATATTTTAATATATTTTAATATATAATTAATATATTAATAAATATTAATTAATTAATATTAATTAATATATTAAAATATATTAAAATATAATTTTATATTTTAATATATAATTATATATTAAATAATATATTATAATAATATATAATATATACTATATATAATAATATATTATAATTATTTAATATATAATTATATATTTTTAATATATATAATTTTCTTTGGGAAAACACTGACATTTGTTCTCAGTATTCTACGACCTTCTTACACTTGTTACACTTACACGAGTGTGCATTGATGTCACAAGACGATTAATTAATTTAACAGCTTTCTTACTGAAAGTTATTCGAGCGGGGAAAGAGCACTTTCAATGTCGTATCAATACCTCGCCAATCGTTCCACATATCTAAAGAACTTAGCCAAGTAATCCACCAATGTCTTATACTGCCCAACTATGCAGGAAAGCAATAGAATATCTATTAAACGACCAATCTCCATCTATTACCGACGTATTTTGAAACTTTTAATATTTTTTAAACTACGTTTTATCCAAGGACGTTAAATTTCTCAAATGAATTTCTTACTACAGTCTCGTGCAGTAAAGTCACATCTGTCGAAGGATATTTTTGTACGTAATTGGGCAGTGTACACACGACTAGTTTCGTAAACGAAATTAATGTCGACGAGGATGAAAGGGTTAAGGACAATTACTAAACAACGCTGCAACGATCGAACACTGCAAACCTGAATGAGAGAGAACCTGCTGTGCCTATTAGAAGGACATGAGAGTGAAAAAAGCAGCTGTGAGTGTGACATGAAGTGGGGGAGGGAGCTGGATCTGTCACACGAGGGGAACTTTAGTAAGAAATCCTGGACTTAGTCTGGTCGTATGCAACTGTCGATGGATTTGACGCATTGGCACAATGAGACGTTCCTTTATCTTACTTTAGTCGCATACTTCAAACGCATTCAGTGCCAGTTTTGACCTTTTTAACAGAAAGTTAAAACTCGAACGTTGGCGAATTTGTCGTTTACGTTGACCAGATGGAAACTAGTATCATCCTTGCAGTTGCAAGGGATAATTAATAATTCGCGCGGTCTGGAGACGAATCATCCTAATTAGACTGCTAGAATGTTTCTGTCTGATGAAAATTTATAACTTTCGCCGAGTGCAACTGAACGGAACGTTTTATTTCGAGTTGTTTTTATACGATGTTCTTACATATCGCGTGTACTTTATATATATATATATATATATGTGTATATATTTCGAAATTTCCCCGATAATGCATAAAATAATATCTGTTGACAATTTATCGTGTAACCAGGAATATCTCAACGAAAGAATACGACCAATTAGGAAAGGGACTAAGTATAACATTTGGGCATCGATCGTGCGAATTTTACTCGCAATTGCCCCCTCCGAGATCTTCGTTCGTTCGGATAAGATCGAACGAAGGCAACAGCCGCACACAATACATACATACACGGACGTCGTGTAATTCACGTAATTTTTAAGGATCTACTTACAACTAGCCGAACTTACTTCGACACTGGAATTAATTGATAATTGATAATGCAACGCAAGACTGTTCGAATTTGGAAGCTCACGATCCTCTGGAGAGGATGAAGAACGAAAGAGATCTTGTTCCTTGAACGCTGCGTGCAGCGAGGAGGAGATATTTATATTTAAGTATAATACAAGAATACCAAAACGTGTCGTGTCAGTTGTTCGTCTGAGTCACTTGTCGAGAGTCGGTGTTGTCAGTATCGTTGATATTAATATTACGATATAGATGGTTATAGTATATTTACACTGACACGAAATTATATTGCTCGATACTGGCGATCATCGACCATGGGTAAAAGCAATTCGAGGCACGATTGCCAAGGACAGGAGTATTGCTATTTCGCGTGAAAGATAACGAAGGGGGCTTCCATCGAATTCCACGTTTCAGCACACGTTCAGTGATAATCTACGTACACGCACGCGGACACATTCCAGTCGTTGTTTCTCGATCGGAGATCGGTCTCATAGACAAAGAACAGGTAAAGAGACCGTATTTTATTTATTCGACGGATGAGTCTAAGGTAGTTAGCTAAGAAAGAAGAGATCGACGACCAAGTTACTGTCAGTTTTAAGATAGAAAGAGAGAGTGAGAGAGAGAGAGAGAGAAAGGAAACAGACAAAACTACATATACTATGTATCCTGCATTTTTCTTTTTTTTTTGAAAATCGCGCGCTCGATACGTTCAACAGAACCTATTTATTTATTTTTTTTTTTTTTTTCTCTCTTCTGCACTTTCGTTATCGTGATACACACTTGTACATAAACACACAACGACACGAAGTCGAGAGGGGAGCAACGGTGCAAATATACACGCGAGATGAAATATTTTTCACTTCTTCTTTTCACTTTTTCCGTTTCCTCCAACGCACATTAGGCGAACGACGATTCGCGACTTAATGACTAAATGAAGCGAGTTCGAATGATTATTATTATTATTTATAGAAACACGCCCGGGTTCGAGCGGTGATCGTCGTTTAAAAAGAAAAAAGAAAAAAAAAAAAGTACGTGTTACGATGTAATTAACTGTATAACTGTTAAGAAAAAAAAAAAAAAGAAAAAAAAAGAAGGAGACACGCGTGCATGTGCCGAATATAGTCAACGATGTATTTACAACAGTGTCGTCTGTCATGCGATGTTAATTGTTATAACGTTGATTTATAATGATTAACAGGAAATCGTCGTGAAGGAACCTCCGGATCGAGTCGAATCGCACGTCGAGATTTTTATTAATCTTAATTATTACGCTTGCGTAACGGTGGACGACGTATCTATTTTGTAGATAGAGATTTTCAACAATTGATATTTATTCCAGTAGCGGGAGTTCTCGTTGTGTGTATTTATGCTCGGTGTTAAGTTATATATATATATATATATATATATATCGGAGGGATCTCACGCCCGCAAAGATCGGTATTATCATCGTTTAACGGCCGATAAACGATGGATCAATACTGCCTGGATCGTGATCTGTTTCAATCGTCTGTCTGTACACCTAAGTAATTTATTCGAATTATAAATTATAATTCATAGTTTCTCCCCTTATTTTTCTTTAATTTATTGCGACGCGCGTCCGAATACGATAATCGCTTGTTCAATCGGCGACAATTGTAACATTTGCTTGATGAATGTCTCTTAAACGATAAACAACCGCGACCAATGATCAGGTGAAACAAAAGTTGTAAATGTGCTCAGTATCGTCTGTATATATTTGTGTGAATTATATTCAAACATTTGAAAGAAACGAAATAAACAAATGCCTTCAATTCTGCGCAATATGCAACTATTCCTCCTCGTTCTGCCATTTTATTCGTTCATTATACCAAACTGAGTGTCGAATGTATCGAATATCAACGTGCAAATGTCTATTCCAAACAGATTTATCCCTCTCGTTTCACGCTAGAAAAACACTGATACTTAAATAACATTAGCATTGAGCGACACGTGACACAAATCTATAAAGCATCATTTATTTGTTCAGTATTTTAGATTGACATGTTGAATATATCAAATATCAACGTGCAATTCCTATTCTAAACAGATTTATCCCTCTCGTTTCACGCTAGAAAAATACTGATACTTAAATAACAAGCATTGAGCGACACGTGACACAAATCTATAAAGCATCATTTATTTGTTCATTATTTTAGATTGACATGTTGAATATATCAAATATCAACGTACAATTCCTATTCTAAACAGATTCATCCCTCTCGTTTAACGCTAAGAAAACACTGATACTTAAATAACAAGCATTGAGCGACACGTGACACAAATCTATAAAGCATCATTTATTTGTTCATTATTTTAGATTGACATGTTGAATATATCAAATATCAACGTGCAATTACTATTCTAAACAGATTTATCCCTCTCGTTTCACGCTAGAAAAATACCGATACTTAAATAATTAATTTTGTGCGATACGTGACACGAATCTATTAAAAATAAATTAACGCGTAATACTTATTCGAATCATCTGTTTCGCACTTAACACTAGAAAAATAGTGGTTTGATCGAAATAAGGCACTTGAATGCCTGTGACAAACAGGCACAAAACAGAAGAGAATTATTTTATGGAAGACAGTTTGTACTTAGTTTCGTGTTCAACATATAAGCGTAGAAAGCCGAGAACAAATCGTTGCCAATCAGCTCGATGCATTCGTGTAAAAACGTAACGATGTTCGTTAATGCATCGAATACGTTGTTTCTGGGCGAGGAACTGAGACTTATGTTGTACTTCTTCAAATTCGCCTTGCAGTACGTCCACGTGAAATAAACAGCGTCGCAAAGAAACTGCTTCGGTTCGTTGCAATGTTCCACTATGATCATAGTAATTCTGAAACATTTGGTCAGAACATCCAGCGCGTTCTTGAAGTATTTCATTTCTCGTAGTATGTCGTCGAAGTATTTGACGTCTGGTATCTCCTCGTTCGCTGAGTCGACGTAATAATCTTTCAACAACCGTCTAAGTAAACCTTTCAACTTGATCATCACGTCGTTCCTCTCTGTAGCGACCATCGGCGAGTTTATCAAATTAAACGCGACTGTGCCAACTGTCAGTAAACTTCCTGTGAACTCAACAGGGTCTATGAATATTCTGTTATTTATAATAATATAGTTGTCTTGGTACTTGACACTTGGCAAATTCTCTCTCCAAGATAATTGACTCAAACCGTTTAAGAAGTCCTGCCTGTTGGCAAATTGCTTTATTTTACAGACAATGCCCTCGGATCTATTTTGCGTATTGCCCACGTATGCGCTCATTTTATTGAACTGCTCCTTCAGACGATCAACCTTCAAAGCGCCCTTGAACTTCTCAAGGATGCTGCCGTTGGATGTTTCTATGAGCTCGCCAGCCAATTTGGCATTTAACAACGCATTACCGAAGAATAAAACATGCGAGGCGAAGATAACTATATCCAGGAAATCAACATCCCTTTCTGTACGATATTTGTCGATTAAACAATATCCCTGATAAATTATACCGACGCTGTTCAATGTCAAGTTGCCCAATATCATGGAATTGTAAGCTGTTTTGGCTACAACACCAACGGTGCTGCCTCTGGTAAGAGCTTGAGACATAATCATAGTTCCACCATTTGCTCCCAACGACAAGGCTGTACTACCTATTTCAAGCCAAGCAGGAAATGCATTTTTATTTATAGGGCTGATGGATTGTTTATGCTTAGCAAGGTCCACTAATTTTTGGGAATTTCTGGCAATGATCCATGTGCCGCATAAACCGCCATAAATGAAACCTATTGATTAAAAATTTCATTCTGTTAATAAAGAGCAGAAATGGAAACTGAACTGTTTTACTTGCATGAAACTGTCATTTACCGGCGGCAAAAACAACTGGTGCAATAGGTGTCAGTAAGTTAGCAGTTCCAAGCCCTACAGTTGTAGCTACAGTTATTGTATTCGCAGCAATATCAATGCCTTTAAAGACTTTATTTTTCACATTACAAGCAGGTGAGTCTAGTACCTCAACCCATACCGTTGAAACATATTCTGTGACTTTATAGTTTGGATTATACTGATACAAACCCGCCTTTGGCAAAATCATAGTACACTGGGGCAATCTGTTGTTTGTAATGTAATCTTTCCAAGTTTTATATAGTCTGCCTTCATTGTCAATATAAGATATACCCAGCGTCACAGTCTTTAACTTAAATATTGGTACTATACACATATTATTAGATTTGTCATCGTTAGATTTGTCATCATTAGATTTGTCATCCTTCTTATTCGACTGCTTTGGTGCTGCATGTAAAATTACAACGTTAAATATAATTCCAAGGTAAATGATATTGTTCGTGTTATCTTTTCCAAACTTCATTATCTGTTGATATATTGTATCTATGACCTTGCACATTGTTTTATCGTACACTATCTTATTGCATATATTATTTTGGTTGTTATTGACCGACGTATCATTCTCAGAGGTTGTTGGTGTTTCTGTATCATCAACAATTTCAGGAATACCAAACATGGCATATCCAATCTTATGTCTTATAATTTCACAATCATCAGACTCATATTGAAACCAATCAGGAAGAAGTTCATAATAATGTTGCTGATACTCTTTGGCAAGCTTGATTTTCTCCTCCTAGGATACATCAAATTAGAAATTAAATTACATTAAATCTGAAAAACATGATAATGAATTATACACATATGAATTTACTTTTTCATCAGACGGACAAGCCATGTTGATTCTTCAGAATGATGAAACTTTTATTTATGTTCTGAAATAAAACTAAGGGTTGTTGTAGATACACATTTAATTATTACATCAAAAGGAATATCGTTATTAATTAAAATTATTCGTATAAAATAACGTAGCAACTACTATTATGAACAATTATCAACAAAAATTATTCCCACGAACGTCAGTTAAACATCACTATAAATCAGCTTTCTATACATACATACATATATATACATACATAGACTGAAATCTATGTATGAAAACCGGGGAATTCCTGTTTTAGTATTATATATGTTACCAATGTTACGTAACTAACTTATATGTAGAAAAAGGAACATAATTATTAAAAATTAATGTTAGCATCGCCTTCCTTTCGAATTTTATTAAAAATAAAGAATTTTCGTATAAAAAAAAACATTAGAAAAAGCAATATAATTATTAAAAATTAATGTTGGCATCGCTTTTGAATTTTATTAAAAATGAAATCACTGGTATCAAATATAGTGACATTACACAAGTGTACCAATTACATTTAACTGGGGATTTAACTGGCGGGCAGTTTAAAAAAAGCAAACAATTAAATTTAATCACTCATAGTTGTGTTCAATATATTTATGTACGTCTGTAAGTACAATAAACGAAATTCATGTATCAATTATATCAGACTGATACAATTCTAATCGTTTATCCAATAACCTAAAAAATATTTCCTGATGTTTCCATAAAATTCCCTAAAACAAAATATTTCCCTAACAATGCGCATATGGAAATGATCCTTTAATCGATCAGTAACTAGCCTCGGATGCACAATAATTCAAATTGAAATTAATATCATAAACATTATATTAGTCATGTTATATGCTGTTTCAGGTACTTCAGGAATGCGAAAAGCATTTTTAGATCGAAAATGAGTACATGTATGTACAGTATGACGTTAAAAAAATTATAGAGTTTCAAGTCTATCCTGTAGACTCTATGAAATCTCTGTTATATTTCATCCTCGCACTTTTCACATTATTTGTATGGGTAAATAAAATTTCAGGAAGAATAAAATCATAACTTGTTACGATTTAAACCTAGACGTGTTAACTTTTTTCCGTTATTTACTGTACTGTCCGTCTCGAAAATGTTATACACCCCAAAACCCTGAAACCTAGAAATAAGGATTAACGGATGATGGAGGATTAGGTATAACAATATAATTCAATGAAAACAATAACAAATACATATATTTCTCGAAATGTGATACACTTTGATGTTTTTTTTTTTTTTTTTTTTGTGGTGGTCGTATTTTAATTCTCGCGTGTACTGTTTTCTCATGTTTTTTTTTCTTCTTCTTCTTCTTTTCGTTTCAAATGGATCGGATGGCGTGTCATTTTATTATGGACGCGGCGACGTCATCTAAAACTCTTCTCATTATGTTGCATTTTGCATTGTTTAATTTTATTAACTCTGTTTCGTTTTTTTTTTTTTTTTTTTTTTTTTTTTTTTTTTTTTTTTTTTTTTGGCTTTTTCGCTTTTTCTTTCGTTTTGTCATCGTCGTTAAATTCTAAATTGCAGCAAAGCTGTCAGTTGCGTCTACCGTGTTCTCTAATTATCTCTTTTTTTTTCTACGATTTCTTCTTTACGACATACTCTTTTTTCTTTTCTCTCTCTTTGTAGCTCTCTTCATTGCAATCCGCAGCCTGTTTTCCCTTTTCATTCCCCCTCAAACGCTTTTGCATTCTCTCGTTCCGCGTAACCAACGAGACCTGCAACGTCTCGTCGTTTTCGAAAGGAAAACGATTGCCGAGATCCAAGACCGGCCCACTTGGAAAGCTACGAAGTGGTTGAGTTAATCGGCAACTTGTACTAGAAGGTACTTATACGAATATCGATCCTCGAGAAACGTGAACGAGCGTCCCTCTATTCTCTCCGTGGTTCTCCTCGGTTGAGACTGTTGTTAAACTGTCACACACTTGTCAACAATATCGGCCTCTGTTGCGATTTACTATGCAAGAAAGAAAAAAAAAAAAAAAAAAAAAATCGCGATCAGAATGTTACGCTTTTGTTACGCGTAGGTGCATGTCTATGTGTGTTGTGTAACAATCGAACTTCATTGTCCAATTTCTTTCTTTCCCTTTTGGTAATTAGTCTACGTGCCAAGAAAAAAAAAAAAAAAAAAAAAA